TTAAAATGTCACATCTTTATGCAGTGTTTTAATTTTTTTTTTAATTTCTCAGAGCATCTGTCTCTAAGTACAAAATGATTTGCATTCTCTTAAGAACATAAGAAGCGCATATGAAAATAAATAGTCTTCCTCTAAACCTTTAACACATCCTTAACATTCTATGTAAAATCTTTAATATAGCTTATAGGTGTCAAGATCATAAAAAGAAAATGGTGACTGACTCTTAGCTTCAAATGGAATTAAACCTTGAGAATGAATGATTTTAGCATAATAGAATTTTTACCATTCTGATAAAAGCAAGTAAGTCTCCTTTGTTGTCATGATACTTAATTGTTGGCTATGAGATAAAAAATATTCTCTCCCTCTCTCTCTCTCTCGATCTATATATAGTGTTACTTCTAACCAGACAGTAAACTATTTATTATAATACTTTACAAATATAAGCTCATTAATTTTGACAATAACCACAATGACATAGGTATTATTATTACCATCTTGAAGATGAAAAGACCAAGGCCAGAAAAGGTAATCAGTCCAAGGTCACATAGCTAGTACATGACAATGTTAGGATTCTAATTTCTTGTGACTCCAGAAACCAACGTTCTTAAATGTGTCCACATCTTTCACCATGTTTGCTCATTTGTAAAGTGGGAGAATAAAACAGATTGCCTCATCGGAGTTGTAAAGATAAAATCAATAAAATCAGAGAAAACTACTGTGGAAACTATAAAGTATTGTTAATATTAACACAAAGACACTGTATTAACAGATTTTTTTCAAAGACCCTTTTTTCCAAGTAATATTAATACAAGATTTAAAGTAAAATTATACTAAACCCATTTAACAACATACAATTAGGGCTTAACAAAATCTTGTCTTCTTCCAGACAATTTTCCCCTAAACTTTTGCTTTTGAGTTAAAACCTTAAGAGCGTCCATGCATAAATCTAGCATGCTTTGCCAATTCAGAGTAGCTTCACCTGAAAAGCCCCTCACAGACAGTTTTCCTCATTTGTCAATGACATCTCTCTATTATGGCCTTAGCTCTTTATTTGCTCCTCTCTGGGGAGTGAGACTTTCCAAAGTGTGGCTTCCTTATTATTCTCTTGGATTGTCTGTTCCTGTTCCTCTTTGTTCGAGAAGAAAGAGAACGTTTTATAAGGGAAGGATCCATACCATTTGATTAACACCACAAACCTTGGATAGATATTTTTCCCCATCACTACTTTGTTTCAGTTTCAAAAGACTTGATAAGGAGGAATTAAGGCTTGTGCCTTAATTAAAGTCATGACACTATTTCTTTACGCAACAATTCTTTATTGATATTCTTAGGAATGTCTTTAGTATACTTTTAGCTAACTCTAAAGCTCCTGTGTTATTCAACTTACGGCAATAGTAAACAATTCTGGATTTTGAAGTAAGAAATTTCTGTAATAGGACAGTCTCTGAAAACATTTAAGTACTATGTAGACTTAAAAAATTCTAAGCAATTTTATACTTTGGAATGACTGGCCTTAGTTCTGTGCTTTTGCTTGTGGTGCTTCCTTAACTTGAGATGACCTCCTGCCTCCCCCGCTTCCTTCAAGATTTGGATGGATGTCTGACTTTTGCCAAGAAATTTTTCTTAATTAATTTCTGCATTTATGACAGATCCCTTACTATGTACTAGTTTTGGGAGTGGAGAGGAGGTTACAAAATTGAATCAAGAATTGGAAGCTTTTACTTCTCTTAAAAACATGCCCTGGAATATTATCTGAGCTATACTCTAGTCCATAGGTTCTATAAAAAATGACAACAAAAAAATTTACTGAGCATATACTATGAACCAGTTACAATGCTAAATGCTTGACATGGATGATCTCATTTAATCCTCAAAACAACCCCATGAGGCAATTATTTCAAGGTTACAAAGCTAATAAGCTGAAAGCAAGGATTTGAACATTGAAGTTTGCATTCAGAGCCCAGTGGTAGCACCATTGTGTCTTCCCTATACCACACTCATACCACTCACTACTACTTTCCTTAGTCTATTTTGTTCATGTCTTCACAATATTTGTATAACTGTGTTATTCATCCACAAGACAGTATGCTTTTCAGACTACCAAAGCCACCCACATCCTGCTGTAATTAACAGAGAATACTGCAAATAGTAGCTACTTGACGAAATAAACACATATATACACATCTACAAATACACACATATATTTTTAAAATATTTTCTGATTTGAATAATAAATATTTTTAGCCCCATGTTTTATTTAACAATATACTATTATATATCATAGAAAATATCCTAATTCCTTCATAATTCCTACTATATTATGTTTTCTACACATAAAACATATTCAGTAAATGCTTCCTGAATAAATCAATGGCTACAGGAGGTACTGAGTGTTTGATTACTTTAAAAATTAAAAACATATTGTATAAATATTACATAATATTTTGTGATATAATCAAGGAATAAAGGACCTTGGCTTTTGTTATCTAGCAACTTTGATCCCTATCTCCTCACAACTGCTTCATTCACCTATCTTTTTTTCTCACATGGGTTCCCAGTTTAAATTTAATACGCTATATCAAGGGATTGGAAATTAATTATGTAAAGAGAAGAATGCTAATAAAGTTTCTAAATCTCATTAAGTAAAAAGGCATATAACTTATGGCTAAAGATTGCTACTAACTCACTGGTAAATAAATGCCCCACAGCAGAGTAAACTACTATGGAATCTAGTATAAATTCCTGTAAAGTTCAGTGGCTATTTAATTTAAATTAACTCTTCCTTATTTTTCAATTCTTATGTAAATAATGCTATTAAAAATTAAAATACACAGGTAACAATCTGCATTATAATTTAGCTATATGTAATTAGCTTTTCATTTATGTTAAGTATAGTTTTTTGATTGTTGTTGTGTTTAACTTCTGGAGATAATTTCAGGGGAGAGATATTTTTTCTTGCTATTTGAGACAATAACCACATTACGGCCTGATTAAAAAAATCAGTTTTGTTTATGGATAGATTGGACAATTAATGCTTTATTGTTTTAAAAAGTCAATAAATCATTTTATGGTAATTAAGAATCAATAACAATGAATTCTCAATATTGATGTCCTTTCTAATTTATAGCCACATGATTTCTTCCAAAAAAACCAAAACATATTTCTTTTCTTAAGCTATGGTCCCTTCCATAATGTGTTTTCTGGAGATGCACTTAATATATCACATCAGTATTTCACTACAAGGACAAGGTAACCTAATCTTAATTTATAGAAGACTTTTCATTATTTGATTTCAAAAATTCATTGGTTATTATAGCTTCATAAACAATGTTATGATAATGTATCTTTTAAAATTTTAATTCTTTGGTCAGCGAAATTTCCAATGAAAGTCATACTCTAACAGGGACCACTGGACAATACATTAATTTTGCTCTTTTATTCATTAAAGGAAAAAAGATATAATGCACCCTTCTTTAAAGTCTATTAAGTTACATCATGCACTCCTCACTGAGAGAGAGTAAACGAAAAAAATAACAGGAAAGAGAAATTAAATGTGCATTTACCTGTATTAGACATATCCGTAGTGCTGTTGTCTGAAGAAGTAATTGGAGTCTGTTCTGTTTTGTTGTATCCAGTTTTTATCTGTGAAAGAAAATGAAGAACATGCAATGTCATTTTCTAAAGTAGGTCAAAGACCAGACTGGAAAGCTCATGTTAACATGAAATGAATGGTTAAAGAGATTAAAGGAATATTCCAAAAAATATGAAACCTCTAAAATTTTGGTATATTCATCTTCAAAAAAAGCAATTCAGAATGAAAGGTAACAATGTTGAAGGATAACAAAATACAAGGCCATATACCTTGTCTTTTAAAAGCTATTATAATTCCAAATGACAAAGTAGAAGAGGCTGACAGAAGATCTTATGCTCTGCCTCTGATCAGCATGTACCCGAAACTGAAGTTACCTTTGACGAATTTTAGTCTACTGACTGAAAGCCTACCTGTGTTTCCTATTTTATAGCCAACAAAGATTTAAAGAATGTATGTTCTGTCTTGTAACTGTGATTTGTTAGGACATTGTAGCAGTTAGTAATTTATTGTATTAATTTTGACACAGAAATTCCCCATTTTGTATGATTTGAATAGGATGAACTGTATTCTAGCATGCACATGTGAGGGAGCAACAGCCACCTCGGGTGGATGATTAGGATTAGCCTCACTGTGCAGAAAAGAAGCTAAGGAAGTAAAAGGAAGATTGCCCAACTTCAGTCAAGAAGAAAACAAAAATGATAATTACTGGTCCATATTAGAGACTGCAACTAAATATGACATTCTTAACATAGTTTTGAGTGATAGCTATGCATATTTTTGTGGTACCATTTTGTCATGCGGATATTCTCTGATATACTTCTGGACACGAGACACACTGACTTTAAAAAATTATGTTATTGACAACACAGCATAAAAATCTTAAGTAGGAAAAAAGTAAAAATCTTTTAAGGAAATACAGCTAATTTGTTCACAACAATATTACTAAAATTACAATTCTATAGGTAATTAATAAACATAAAAAAATAGGGGATTTATGGACTACATATATAAACAGAGAAATTTAAGATTACCTGACTTATCTTATAAGAAGGTAAAATGGCATCATTAATTTTGGGAGTGGATGAAGTCTTTGGAATTAGTATTTCAGGGGGAGAAGAAAGAAGACTAAATGTTGAGGCTTGAGGTCCATATTCTTCTGAAGCTTCTAAAAGGGATGTACATGATAGCTTTTCTGGGTGATTGCTGTCAGATTTTTGTCTTATGAATGCTATCTCCCAAGCAGATTCTGACCTAGTATTAAAAAGAAATCACTTTATGGATATGCTATGAATATGGTACAATTGAAGTCTAAGACAATGTTTCCAATAATATTAAAAAACATTTCTTATAGTCTAAAGTACTTAAGACATCTTAAATTACTATTTTTAAAGAGTCATGCTAAATGACTCATTCTATCTTATGGATAGGATAGTTACCTCAACTTGGCTCTGGTAATTATCCTTTTTGCTTCTTCGAATGATACACCAATCATAGATTCCTTGTTTACTGAGACAAGTTGATCTCCTGGCTTCAAACGACCATCCTAACAAAAACAGTAACATTTATAAAGAAACTAATGAGGTACTTTCCAAAAGAATTGATTGACACAAATAAAGCAATGAAAAGCTTTTGTGAAGAATGTCTTAAAGACCGGTTTGGTGGCTCACGCCTGTAATCCTAGCACTCTGGGAGGCCGAGGCCGGTGGATTGCTTGAGCTCAGGAGTTCGAGATCAGCCTGAGCAAGAGCGAGACCCCGTCTCTATTAAAAATAGAAAGAAATTAGCTGGACCAACTAAAAAAATATATATAGAAAAAATTAGCCAGGCATGGTGGCACATGTCTGTAGTCCCAGCTACTCGGGAGGCTGAGGCAAAAGGATTGCTTGAGTCCAGGAGTGTGAGGTTGCTGTGAGCTAGGAAGACGTCACGGCACTCACTCTAGCCCGGCACTCACTCTAGCCTGGGCAACAAAGTGAGACTCTGTCTCAAAAAAAAAAAAAAAAAGAATGTCTTAAAAAAAAAGTAACAAATCTTAGAGAACCTCAATAGCAAAATGTTTTGATTAAGGCCTGGTTTGGTAATGTACATGAGTAAAACTGAATGGTTCATGTACTGCATGAATAAATACGCATGCTAAGGAATCTCGAATATATTGGAACAATATAGGCCAGTACACCAGGAAAAGAGACTCGTTTTAAAAACTCAGCAGTATGGAACTGATAAAGCTCTGACTCTGTGATAAAGCAGCCCAAATAATCCTGTGATACTTTGGAATACAATACTCATTCACTTTAGTTTCTAAGCATTCCTGCATCTTTCTTCCCAACAAACTGTTCAATGTGGATTTATCACACATTTAGATTTTTAAAAATTTAGTCAAGGATCTTAATTATATTGATCCTACCCACTTTTCACCTCACGATCTAACATCTTTTTTTCCAGATCTGCTATCCCTCCTGTGATAAAGCCTATTTGGCTGTGCATGTAGTGTTAGCCAAGTCCTGCAATAATGACCAATTCTAACTTCCCATCATTGGCTTTGCTAAGTCCTAGCTCTACTCATAACTAGCCTAACTGAATAAGATAGAGCATATCAGTTATAAGATTTAATGTAGTTGTTAAGCAAGTGTCTCAATTTTTATTTATCTTCTCTTAATTCAAACTTGAAAAGAAGAATAAGCTTTTTTCTTTTTCAGTTCCTAAGATTCATCTCTATGGCAGAAAACATTATTTCTATTAACTATAGAAAAAGCTTGTATGATTAAAAGGTAGGTTTTCACTTTGATGGTAGTTAAGCAACTCTCACAAATTCAAGGAAACATCTTTCTTTAAAGTCTTATCTACTAAAACATATCCCTTAGATAATTGATCTTTGATCTAAACTGTATTATTTATAATAATGGTGACTTTTGATTATTTTACTCCTATGTAAAATACTATTTTTTTTTAAAAAGACATGTAGCATGATCTTTTCCACTGACTAGAGAATACACAGGAAAACAATTATATAAATATAAAATATTCATCAAAGGATTTTATAGGAACATATTATCTCAAATACTATATAAGAGATCATTTAGTCTAAATGCATAATGACCCTATGATTCTTCTAAAATGTAAATATTATTAAAAAAACTTAAACTGAAAGAGGCGGTTTGATTTTAAGATATTGAAAATTTGAAAATCAATTTGGATTTTATATAAATATGTGATTAAATATAACTAGCAAAATCAGAAAACAAAACACAACACACAAAGTAGCAATATTCAAAAATGATTTTTTCTTATATTTAATAAATGTATGGAGAGAAATATATAATAGTAACGATAGAAAAGACTAAGTATATCGAGAAAGTATCTACCATATGTATCCTACAAGTTCAATAAAGCAGAAGGCCTGATTTTGTAAACACAGCTCTATATTGCCAAGGCCCAAATCTTATTAGAGTTTCATTACAAATGCATTTAAATCAATTATACCCAGACTATACCCAAATACTTATGTACTTTAGCTTGTAATTTAATATGCTAAATTTTAGTTTGAGGACATTCAGTCAAGGTTAAGGTGAAATGGTAACAAACAAAGGAAAACAACCTCTTTGCCACAGGAAAAAAGATAAGGCTAATAAAAGGGAAGAATAAACACAAAATTCTATAGAGGGCTTATTTTGGGGGGAGGTATAACATGGGGGTAATGTGACCAGGGAAAAGCACACAGGAATCCTCGATATAAATTAAATTTTATATTTCTTATTGTACTCTAAATAGATTCACAGGTGTTTATTTTATTATGTTTCATAAGTTAGATATATGTTCCAAAATCCTTTTGTCTATGTCAAATATAACATTATAAAAAAAAGAAAAAATTTCTCCATCCCAAATAAAAAGGAAGTTCATGCAGTGTGTCCCATCAATGTACCTAACTAACTGAATTATATTTTGGGTCTACATTACAGAACTGGTATTGGAAGTAAGAGTTAAATAGAGAATTTTTAAATCTAATTTTTAAAATAAATAAATGTCTGTCACTGTTAAATCCAGCTCTAAGCCAACCATTTGGAATCTGCAAAGTAATTCCTTATTGGACTTAGTTTAATACAGTAGATTTTAACTGAAATTTACTGACTACACTAACAACTTGTATCCCAAAGCCAGAAAATAATTTAGGGGGAAAAAAAGGGAAAAATAAAGGTCTACATCTTTACAGAAAAGCATTTAAAGCATACTGAAAAGGAAAGAGTTTCTTTCAGAATTGTGCTGGTAGACAGTAAATATCAGGTTATCATGTTTTAATGTAAATGTAAATGTAAAACAGTTCCTTCCTTTTATTAAATTTCCTTGAAAAAGGAAAATTCTATAATGATGATTACAAGTCAGATGTCTTTTATTTGGGCAAGAGCCTTCAGAGGCAATGGACTGAAGAGGAAAGAGCATGGGGTTTGGCAACCAGATAAACTTGAATTTGGATTTGACCTCTACAACTTCTAGTTAGAACTTCATAAACAATAAGAATGAGAAAAGGGGATGGGGGAGGCACATAATCTTGTCCACAAGGATCTGAGAACTAAATTCTAAATTATGTGGAGGTAGCTTCGGTATTCATGTGTCTCTTAGAAATCGGTTGTCAGGGTTATGGAGAAAAAGGCTACAGAAAATAGAGGTAGGCAACAGAGTTTAGGCTGACCTTCTGCCTCCCACATTCTCCTTTCAGGCTGTACAGTGTTAGCAACACAGAGGAAAAGCTCGCATGAAGGCAATTTAACCTTTCCTGTATTAAAGTACATTGATGTATTGAAGTACCATTTTCCAGCAGGACGAGAGTCAGAGAAGAGAAGAAGGATGCCTTCTGACTGTGACTTCTAGTGTTTATATATTTTTTTCTTTCTAAAAAGTATTCACAGAAGTTAGTTTTTTCCTTTGCCTCCTAGAATAAGATCTTAGCTGATCATGTGAATTTCTGAACCTGTTTAAAAGTCAGAACCTGCAAATGAAAACAAAGCTATTTCTGTAAAAGTCTGGCATTCTAAACGAGTGAATTCTGCCCCAGCTGGATTAATGTATATGTGAAGATACTAACTTCAGGGATATGCTGAGACCTCTTCCACAGCATAGATTCCAATTCAGCAGTTACTGAGCAACTACACGACATGGCAGGCGATGTGCCAAGCACTTTCATAAGTTGAACTTCAGAGTCTAAATTTTTTCACATTGACATTCATATAGACATTGAAATAATAATATATTCCTGACCACTTAAACACTTCTGTTCAAAACTACCAGTGCTGTTCATTTCTGATTATGACTTTAGTATACAGTTTTCTAAATAACATATTACCATATTACCAGAAACCATTTATAAAGGCTGATTCTGATTTAACTAATTCATTATTCTTAAATACTAAGGAATGCTCCTTCTGTAAGCTTTCAGATTCCTTTGCCATACTTTTACAAGCTGTAGACTGAAGGCATCCTTCTTTTAATTCCAGTTTTTATTATGAAGTCAGGAAAGCTATTTAACCTCTACAAAACTCCATTTTTTTTTCAGCTGTAAAGTGAAGATAAGTACACAAGGTTGTTGTAAGAATCAAATAGCATATATAAATTATAGCACATTGTAGGTGTTAAATAAGAGGAGGTGAATCAGACTTCCATATCCGTTGTGGACAATTTTCATGCTGATAGCAAATTTAATTATGTTACTCCTCAAATTGAGAGCCCTTGATGGCTGCCCGCTGAAAGGAAAAAATTGAAACTCCTAACTTTCCAAACCCAGCACAACAAATTCGCTGCAAACTACTTTTTGTAGCCTCATCATCCACCTTCCACCCCAGCATATAAATTCTTCATTCTATTTTCAGAGAATGTTCCTCAAACCAGAAACTACATGATCTTTCCAACCTTAATGCTTTGACACATACCAATTCCTATCTAGAATGCTACCATCCACTCTCCCACTGCTCTGTGATGAACTCTCATTTAAACTTTAAAGCCAGACTCAAACACTATGTCTGCTGCAAGTTTTCTCCCACTCTCCAGGATTTACTTAATTGTTCCTTTCTCTTTGCTCTTAAAGCACTTTTACTTACATATATAATTACACTTACTTTGTCCTGTCCTTATTTGTTTACATATCCTCCCCTCCCTGCCCCTACATTATAGCATATTCATTCAGCAAGTTCCAAACTAGGAGCACTGATTCTTCCAGTTGGCCAGACCATGTCCTTTTCATGGCTGTCTCCCTGGCATAGTGCTGGGTACATAATAAGTCCACAATAACTTCATGAGGTCCAGGAAACAATCTGAGGGAGTTAAAGTAGCTATGACAGAAATAATAACGGAAAAGGAGTAAAGAGAATGACGCTGCAAAGCAAACCATCTTGGCTGCTACTCCTTCAGCTCCCGCCAATGGGACTGGATCTTCACACTTTGCCAGAGGCTTGATCCTACTATTTACCTAAAAGCCCTGGCTCCCATTCCAGTGATATGCTCAGCATATCCAGAAAACTGATTTCTTCTGAAAGTTAAATATGCCCTACTTCAATCCTTTGTGAACAATGACTAAACATTAGCAGCTGCATCTGTGTGATCATTGTCTCTACCTATAGGGCTTGACTAAAAAAAAATCCTGAATTTATCAAATCTAAGCTGCCACTATTTGTAACAGACAACATTATTTTACATAGCACTAAGGGAAAAAAATGTTGCCAATTACACTATGACATTAATTGTGAAACCTCTCACAATTTCAGAGATATAAAAGGAAAAAAGGCATATGCACATACACATACTCAGAAGTATATTACATATATGCATTATGTATGTATAGGTATAGCTTATATGTGTATGTTTTAATATGTGTGTCTTAGAATCAACTAAAGAAAATATGAAATACAGTATCAGGTTTGAGGAGAAGCTTTTGATTTCTGCCTGTTTTCCCTACAATATTAGCAACAAAAGAAAGAAAGAAACAAAAATATTTGAGAACTTCAAAGCGTTGTCCAGAATCTCCTACAAATGGCCAAGGAGGAGAGGTACCTTGGTGTGGAGCCCAAATGGTGGCAGTGGAATGGTAAATAGGCAGATCAGTAATCCTCAGAAATGTGACAGAATATCTAAGGGACCATTCATTCATAAATATTAATTGAGCAATTAAAGTGTCAAGCACTATACTGGGGACTAAAGATATTATTGCGAATAAAATCAGACAGAATCCTTGCCCTTAAGAAACATACTGTCTTGTGGTGCAGGCAGAGTTCATAAAACAATTATAAGTATCAATGTATCATTACAAACTGAGATAGGTGATATGAAGGAAAGGAACAGGATCTAGGGGCACATATAGGAAAAATAAAACTTGGCCTAGAATGGGGGTGAACTCTTAGGAAGTGGTCTTTGAATTGATATCTGAAAGTAATAGGGGAATGCGAGACAGATGCTGTTCCCAGTCTAAGAGAACAGCATGTAAGATGAGAAAGAAATTGGTCCCTTCCAGGAACTGGAAGAATCCCCTCTGGAAGCATAGAGATGGAAAGCCAGAGAGGCAGAAGGCAGAAGCCACACTTTATAGAAACTTGTAGGCAACAAGTATCAGTAAGACAGGTTGGGAGAGAAACAGACATGGTGTATAAGAGCAGACAAAGCTAGTGGGAGGGCCCATAAAAACTAATGATAATTTAAACTGTGGTGATGAGAACAGAGATCAAGAAGACTGATGGTTTCAAGAGATTTAGAGAGTAAAAAAGTCAATAGCATGTGTTAATTAATTGGATATTGTTGTTATGGGAGACAAAGTAGTTAGGAAGCTGTTAGGTTTTCTAATTTTGTGTAGCTGGAAGTTGCCATTCACCAAGATTGGGTATACTAGAAGAGGCCCTGTTAGGGAAGGGATCAGCAGATGAGGGTATGATGTAAATGTCATGGGTTCTGCCTCAGAAATGTTGAGTTTGAGATACCTTTAAGAGATCCAAATGGGAATGTTAATCAGGGAAATGAGTATGTGGGTATGAAGCTCAAAGGAGTGTCTAGGTCAGAAAAAGGTCTAGTATTGAACACTGAGGACTCCAGACTGATACAGGACTAGCTGACAGGGTAAAAAGGGTCTTGGAATTCTCCTTACTTCAGTACCTACCATATATTTTTTTTGACTTATAGGCTTCCCCTAGCTCTTAGAGCTGGAAGAATCTTCTTTCTTCCTTGAACTGAAAAAAATGTGTTCATGATATCCCAAGTTTGAACTCTGAATATGTTTTTGAAAGAAACATGATATTTTGGTTCTACTGAACCAGTAATGTATTGTTAATTTGCCAGGAAGACAACATTTAGGATGGGTAGTGGCTAAACTAACCATGATTAAGTAAAGAAAATTCCTTCTGAGTTCCAATAACTTGCTTACAGTTTGAGAGGTTTGGAAATATAAATGAACTATAGTATAGCTATAAGCTTGATATTGCTCAATTCTGAAATGTCACAATATTAAAACAAAATTATAGCAAGTTAAAGCACTAAAATGTATTTGAAAAATATTAACAGTACTCAGTTCAGCAACTTAATTAAAGATAATCTTATGAACCTGTGTTTCCTATGCTATGAATCTACCTACTACATGGAAATTTTGTGCAGATTAGAAACTTATTAACATGCTATAATAGTATTTAAAACACAGTAAATGATTATTAATAAATTATTTAAAATAAAATTACATCCATTTTATATTTGCAAAATAAATATACATGAAGCTCTCCATCTTGAGGAGATATTCCAAAATAAAAGTAAGCACTGGAAAATTACTTATTCTTCTCCTACACTTTTCTCTTTTTGGCTGTTTTCTTCTGTTGGACAGGACCAGGTGCAGTCAAAGAACATTAATAACTCTGTGCTGCTCTCTAGTGGTAAATAGAGGACATAGTCCATTAGAAAGTTTTGCTTTTTAATACTCTTTTCAATGAAATTCTAAAAATAACCAACAAGAAAAAGTATATATCATGGGTATAATTTCTTAGCCTGTTATCACCAACAGAAGATAAAGAGTAATTTGGAACCATTGCCATTAACTTATTATTCTAATTGCAAATTTTTTCACGACAATAAAAAAGAACAAACTGATGCTTGTCTGAAAAACAAATTCTTATCACTTGTTAGGTATCTTGATCTATTATTGCATTATATCAAGTGTAGCCTAAGAAATACCTTAGCTATACTGAACACACATCCTACCAGCTTTAAAACTAAAGTAGTACTAAACATCTCAATTCTTAGACGAGAAAATTCATTTTTTGTTTGTTTGAATTTGTTTAAACTTAGCATTTAAGTATGTTCTTATTTGGTTAATAATTTAAATTTAATAGCCAAAATTTAAGTCATTATAACATCTTAAAATTATAATACTTAGAACTTGGAAAGTATATTTGGAAGATGCCTTATTATCTGCACAAACCTGAAACAATTGAAATCATAACTATTTTGAAAGTTATTGGTGAAACTGATTTTTTCCTAAGAAGAAAAAAAATCCAGATGAATAAACTGTTTACTAAACAAGTATTTGTGGGGTGAGTAGAGGTAAGAATAGGTCTCTTTATTTAACCAAAATGACAAGAATAAATTTAACAATAAGAGGACCCTTTCTCATGCTATATAGCTTGATGTTAATAGAATATTTTACTAAATTCTTTACATCCTATATCTCTCCAAAAAAGAACTGGAGTCAATTTCCAACAAATAAGATATAATCACATTAGTAAAACAGAAATGGCAAATGAAATCCAAGAGAAATGAGAAAGCAAATATAGTAACCAGTTCATCAAATTGCTGGGGTTATACTTCAAACTTGGGTCTGAGCTTCCTACCAACCAGAGCAAAAGTAACTCATTATATAACATATTTCTTACATTGAAGGAGAGAGTAAGACTTTCTAATTTCTTACGAAAAGACATTTTCTGGTCTTAATTCTATATTTAATTTCTCATGTGTATCCTAAATCTAATTTCTCATGTGGGTAGCTAATGAGAGATATAATTAACAAACTCAACACGAATTACTACTATAAATTCAGAAATGAGTAAATTTTGTTTGCTGTTTTTGTTTGTTTGTTTTGCATTTAGGACATGCTAAATGAATGTAGTTCAAGTTCAATTAATCCAACTAACCAAAACTCAGAGACGTGCATAGATAACATGTCTTCAAACATAATTTTTCTCAACCAGATATAAGATAACAGTCGAACAGCATATAATTTAAAAATATATAATCTTTAGTTAGAGCCTGGAATACTTGTTATCTTCATATGTGAACTTATTCATCTGTTAGGTTAAAGGTCTATCTTCCAGTCCTTTTGTATCTTTCACTGAGGTATGGTCACAGTGGACATTCAGTTAATATTAAAAATTCACTGATAAAGTAGGAAAATAAATCTCATCAGTAATGGGGTTTTTGTTTTTGTTTCTTGGTGGTCCTGGTGGTGGGAGGTTATTTATACTTTCATTTTTTACCTTATAACAGTCTCCTCCAGGAATGATTTCCTGAATATATACCAATGGGCCTTCATTCCGGTTAATTCCTCCTAGGATCTTCAGACCAAGCCCTGTTTCCTTGGTAATTGTAATCATCTGAAAGGCAGGATCTCTAAGATAAAGTAAATTAGCACTCACAGGTTAGCAGGCTAGAGATCAGTACTTATTTTTTTTTCTTTAAACTACTTGTTAAATCAAATTCTTAGATCTAGACACCCAAAATACTTAGTACCTACTAGCGGCTACATTTTTAAAAGTATGGTGACATAAAAGCAGTCAAATGGATTTCCTTACCTATATTTTTAATTTTCTCTACAAAACAACCAAAACATAAAATAATTTATAGCAATAATGCTTATTTCTTTGGAGTAGAACAAAGAAAAGTACTTTAAAAACATCAGTTAAGTAAATTTGAAGATGTATTAAAGGTGACTGAAGAGATTTGCTTTTAGCTGATTACTAGAAGACACTGAAGTATTCCAAAACTAAATATTTTAGTGAATAAAGTAAGTGACTTTAAAAGACATGTTTTTGGCCTTTTAAAGCAATTCAAATTCCATATGAATCTCAAAAAAAGAAATTATGCCCTTCAAGTTGGTTTCTGAACACACTGGTCAGAGCAGAGACTTTATTGGTCCAACAAAATTTGAATAAGTTTGAAATAAGTTTTAGGTTTACCTGCTCACGTATTATTTACTGGGTACTGTACTAAGCAATATACACACATTATGCCATTTAATTTAATATTTATAAAATCCTTAAGGTTCTTAACGCTCATTTTTCGAAAAGCCCCAAAATCCAGGCAGGTTAACGTGGTGGCCCAAGTGTAAGCCCCATCTGTCTTACTTTCAGAGGCAAAATGTGATATGATCTACTTTGCTGGTATATTAAAGCCATTGTTGAATACAGGACTTCCAGCTATCTTCAAACATATCAAACAGCTGAAACTACTATTTAAAAAAGAGTTACTTCATATTTTATATATGATCGCATAGCTTTTAGATGAAGCTTTCTTAGCTTCTGCCATATACATTCTAAATGTATCTTTAAGAAAACTATTGCATTCAAAAGTTAATTAAAAATAGAAGAATGAAAGAAACTTTAAAAAATTTACAAAACTCTCTGTTTTTGATTGTTTCACTGTCTATATAGTACATAATTTAGAGCGGCATTATAGGAATAGTGAATTCAGCTGTGTTGGAAGGCCTTATATGGTCACCGGGCCAATAGTCAATTAGTTAGAAAGGCAGAGAAGACTGGGTCCAAAAAGTTCTACTGACAGGAATTTCAGCACCCCAATCCATTCCTTATGGGATATTAGGTTGCAAAAGCATAAAGGAATGAAGCCTAGGAATGACAAAGATGAAGGAGAAAAAGGGAACTAAGGTACCTCTTTAGCAAATTTCTCCAGCAACCTCTTAAACTCTCTAAATGTGAATTTCCCTCGGTGGGAGTACACACAATCTCCAGCATAGATTATTGTTTCAGCAAAGGAGCCCTCTTTTATAATCCCAGTAAAGCATCTTTTATTAACACAATAGTGTATTTACTTCTAATCTTTTTTTTCTATAAATCTATCTATGTTGTTTTTTTCTGAATAGGTATTATACTATTAGTATATAAACATTTTTCGATCCTTTTTACCCATAATTATTATAAGCAATATCTACATTGTTAAAAGTTCTTAAACATAAATTTCAATGGCAACATAAAATTTATACACATGGCTATGACCTTATTATAAAATTTCCCTATTGTTAAGAATTTAGATTACAAACTCTTTTCTTTTGCTATTAAAAATAGTCCTGCTGGGCCGGGCTCAGTGGCTCACGTCTGTAATCCTAGCACTCTGGGAGGCCGAGATGGGCGGATAGTTTGAGTTCAGGAGTTCGAGACCAGCCTGAGCAAGAGCGAGACCCCCGTCTCTGTTAAAAAAAATAGAAAGAAATTATCTGGACAACTAAAAATATATAGA